TTGATGTTTATAAAATAATACTCACCAAGGATGCACTGATCAAAAATACAATGAAAATAGCCATATTGTGAATTTTTTAAATAATGTGAAATATTAATGCAATTTAAAATAACTGTTTTGTATATTTTAATTTTTTTATTTAATTTAATTTTAAATGTAATTTATTCTTGGCAAAGCTGAATTGTCAGCAGCCATTATTCCAGTCATGTCACATGATGCTTCAGAAATCATTTTAATACGCCAATTTGGTGCTCTAGAAACATTTCATGAATGTTGAAAATCGTTTGTAGGGAGGAGGGTGGGGGGGCATGATATTTTTTTTAAATGTATGTACTGTCACTTTTGATAAATTTAATGCATACTTGCTGAATAAACATGAATTTCTTTCAAAAACAACAACAACAACAACAACAACAAAAAACCCTTACTTATTGAGCACCAAATTGTGTATCCCACTTGTCCCACTTCCTGATGTTCATTTAACATTCAGAAAGTTTAATTAAGGCTTCATTCACGCAAATGCTATCAGTCTCATAGCAAGCCACGGCCAAGAAGTCGACCAGCATCATAACGGACATCACTTGCACGTTCAGGCTCAAGGGGAGCATAATTCCATCAACATATTCAGTTCCCACCACTCACCAGCTGCTTGAAACTGCATGGGCTGAACATTAGCTGTCAACATGAACTCAGCGTTGCTCATTGAATTAATATTCAAAATTAGTCGGCCTAAGCGAAAATCTCATCAACGTGTCACGAGCATGATTATAAACTGCTCACTGATTGACAGTTCCAGCTTTTAATTAAGCAAATCAAATTTTACACACGGTTTTCAGTGAATTAAGCAGATGTTAAGCTATAGTATTTATTCATACTGCATACACAATGAATACATATTCTTAACCACATTCTACTTTTCTTTAGAAAAGTAGAGAACCAGGATTATTACATGATCCATTTTTTTTTATGCTACCGGATTAAAATTCTAATCGATCTGCTGTTCTTTATTTTCTTAACACAAATTAAAATTTGTGAAGTATTAGGAAATTCAGACTCTTTCATACCAAGTTTTTGTGACAGTGTATGTATTTTGGGGACCATTTAAAAATGTGAAAACAGTCAATACAAATATAAATGTTCCTCAGTAAACCTTAATCTGATTTCACAGTGCATACAGATGAGGGCAGTATAGTGTAGAGGATGAATTGTCCAAGAGAAAGTTCAGATTTTAAATCACTACAGTCTTTATAATAGGGGGCGATGTGACATTAACACAAGGCTTTTCTGTTCTCAAGTCGAGACATTTTGAGAGGTATCACGTTTTATATATATATATATATATATATATATACAGTGGTGTGAATAAGTGTTGGCCCCCTTCCTGATTTCTTATTTTTTTGCATGTTTGTCACACTTT